AGAACATTTTTCCAAACAATTTAACATATGCTGAAAACTACTGGCCCATTCAGGTTGAATATATTATCACTCGTGATGTTACAGGCTGGAAAGAGGAAAATGAAGTCTGATAATAGAGGGTAAATGTTCGCTACAAGCACTCTGAATGATGAAGTGGAGAAATTAGAAAGCATTTTAGATTCAATCATAGCAACACATTTATTTAGCAGCCAGGTAGGTTGTTTAAATGCCTTCTTTAAACTAAATGCATTTGAACATTAACTTTATTAATTAGAAGATATTTATCGTGTTGAATATTAAATTACTTTTCCTACATTTAGAAGATACTTAACACAATGAAAATTAGACTAATGAAGATATATCATAAGTACAGCACTGCAATATGTCGAAACACTGACATGTCTAAAGGATTCTGACAGAATTCTTTTAAAATTAATTATTACTTTTGCAACATTACTTCTATAACCTTTATTTTATGTTATGGTCTTTATGTCATAAAACAGCAGAAAGCAGCTCTTAATTCTAAAGTGGAAGAAATAGGTTGCATGATTTGTAGACTTTTCAACCACTGAAAATCTGAAAAGTGTGGTGAGCATTTGTTTTCAGATCCCTTTAGTCTGAATCACTAAATAAAAATCAGTAGTAATTACTGCCTTAGAATTCAATAATTCAGTGAGTAATTCACAAATAGATTGTTCCCCACCCACAGCATTTCAAGTCTGCAATTGTACTTATAGTTATAATTGGGGAGATGACTGCATTTCTCATCTCTGCTTTTAGATGTGCTACAAAATATATTGAGAGAACAATACTGTGTACTTTGGTTAAGTACGTGTATTGCTATAGATGTTGGCAGTATATATTGTAAGGAGTTGCTCCTGGATTGGTGGTATAATAAACCAGCAGCTTGGCTGGAAATAACACAGTTTGGTTTATTTCTGACCCACTTGTTTTTAGTGTCTAGAGGAGCTACAGAAAGGTATTGCATAGGCAAGAGAACGTGTTAAAGGACAACTATTAGTTGTGTTCTCTTCAAATTAGTGATTGTTGCCATGGAAAGTCATTAAAGTAAAAGAAAAAAATGCTTTGCTCAGGTTAGACTAGATTTGACCATTTTGGTCAATATCCAATGTGATGTGCATGAATACCACACTTAGCCCTGTACAGACAGTCCCCATAGTGAAACATGATGATGGCTGCATCATGTTGTGGGGAGGATTTTCTTAAGCAGGGACTGGGTAGTCTGTCAATACTCTGTTTACAGACTCTCAGTCCAGTGTGACGGTACAAAGAAAGTTTAACAAAAAAATCTGTTTCAATATGTGCAAAGCTGCTACAGACACTTAGATCATAAATTAAAGAAGATTGGTTCTTTGATTTATTTTTTAATCACATAAAATAAATGAATAACATGCTAGTATGTTTCATTTCATATTTTTTGTTACCTAATGTCTGCTTCTTTATTGAAATTCATGGTGGTAATATGATAAACATAAAAAAGCCAGAGGGTTATCAACTCTTTTTGCAAACCATGGGTCCATCTTTTTCTTCAAGAGAGAAAACAGCTACGATTTTAAAAGGGACAGAATTTAGCAGAAATAAAAGCAGCAATCCTCTTTGCTTTGTTAATAGCTTTAACTGGATACTAATGTAGATTAGGAAAATAAATTTGAAATCCCCTTATGCTGTTGAAACCCAGTTCTTTTTAAGAAAAGGGGCTATGTTTCCAGTAAACTCTGCTTTCTGAGTGTATTTCTTTGAAGAAATGACGTGGCAATGTCGCAAGTAACAGCACTGTTTACTTATCATTTCTTCCAATTAAGTTCTTCCCTCTGCTCTGATTACCAACTTAATCATCTGTGTTCACATTTTGATTTATTGACTAAAAGCTGTCAATCAAGCAGGGTGGGGTTTCCATGGGGAAAACAAAGATGTTGAAGTTATTTCCTTCAGCCAGTGTCCAAAAGAAATTACCTGTGGCCTCCTTCACAGCGTTGCTATGGAGAGGCAATTACCCTAAATTGTAATTGTGTGAGACTAATGTGTTATGGCTTTACCTCTTGATTTAATTGAGTTTTTCGCTCTCCCTCATCTTTTCCCATGTGCCGTGCACCTGACCCATTGTTAACCTCTGTGAGCAAGCAGAGGAAACAAGCAGATAGACGTGGCAGATATCTTAGACAACAAAATCCCAGAGCCAAGACACAAACTTTGTGTAATAAATGTGGTTTCCAGATGTAGAGTCGTCAACTTGGTTCCTCTTAGCACTTGGAATCGGAGACGCAGGTGCATCTGTGCAATCCTTTACGCAAAAGCCCTGCTTCTTACCTTCAGGAACACCTGCTCTTCTCTCTACTGATCCACATTTTGCCATAAGACATGGACAGGTTTTGATGTATGGCATAGATATAATTTGATAAACCACTAAATAGCACAATATGCTCTTTAAGATTTGTATTACAAATAGACAACTGAGAGTTGTTGTTTTTTTTTTATCAGATTTGAAATATCCATGGAAGGAGATTTTTGCCATTCTTCTTTATAAAATACCTCTGGCACATTCATTTTTTACATAGATAGCATATGTAAATCGAAAATTCTCAAGTCTTAATATTAGTTATAGTTCTGGAATTTGACCTGGCCTTTAAAATGCATTAATGCATTTTGATCTGAACAATTCCATTTTTGTTCTATCTGTATGTTTTTGTGTAGAAGAAACTTTGCGCTGCCACCACCGTGTTTCACCAAGGAGAGGATGTGTTCAGGTCCAAAGTATTTGCTGTGTCCTTATTGCAAACCTTAAAGCAGAAACTTTTCATGACTCTCTCTCAAGAGTAGCTTTATTGGTGCAAGTTTATGGGATGCAAATACTTCTGCTAGGTATTGTAATGCTGACACCAAAGAAGCAGTGGCTAGCACCAACGCTAACACTGTCATTAGATTAGGAACATCTGAGTGGGAATAAATCCTCACCTAAATCTTTTTTTTTATTGTGCTTCTCTGTTAAAGATGCCGGAAACTGGGCCGCTTGTGGAGAAAACATGATCTTCAATCTGCATTCACAGCATGGAATGATTCAGCTCACATCGCCGCTGATCTACCATGATGAATGGGATTAATCAATTGAAGACAGAACATCTATCCACAAATTAAGAGCTGAGCTCATCACTGAACACTGATCTCCAGTGTTATTTTGGTGAAGAGTTGAGTGGGTGGATATCTGACAGTAAGGATATGACAATCAAGAAAACATTGTATAAATACTCAATTAGCGAGCAGTTCAGGAAAATACGACTAATGCCTAGAAAACCGCAGTAAATTAAAATGATGGTTTGTTTTTGTTTTTTTCACTGACAGAGAAGCAGGGGGCATTTTTGAGGAGCGTTAATATTTGACCATGTCATTTATTCTCTTCACACAGAAAAAGACAAATTAAAATAAAACTGCAATAAGCGGAAAATCTGTAAAATTAATTGGTACAGATTTCTGAGACACAGCTAAAGTAAAAATAGAATCATTGTACATACTTTTGTAGTGCTTTGCTCTATTCTAAAAAAGCAAAAAAAAAAAAGAATCCACTGGACTTTGTTTCCAAGTTTGAAGACGTTTCGCTTCCCACCCAGGAAGCTTTTTCAATTAAAAATGTCAGACGTAGTGTTGAGTTTGAGGCTTTATAGATATGACCAAAAACAAAGCCTTGTTTTGGCTTAGAAAACATGCAAATTTATCCGGACAAATGAGTACGCCCCTTAGGAATGGGGAGTCGTTTGGATTCTTTGTTAGCCTGCTATACCTGATACTGGTCTATGCTTCTGAAAGGGGGGTCGTTAGGAGAAATTGTTGGCCTGGCTGAACAGTCGAGATGTTCTGTTCTCCTATATGGGGGTTAAAAATAAAATGAAAACAAAAAACAAGTATTGTCTTTGTGAAGATGCTTGCTATAATTTATTCAGTTTTGTGTTTGATATGCTAAAGGTCAGTCAAACAATTAATTGCAAATGTTGCTTTTCAGTGTCTGTCTGTCTGTTTCTTGCAGACGCCAGAACCAGATGTTTTAGCAGAGGTGTTGAGCTCCCTCACTGCTGAGCTCCTCTGCAGGCTGCCGTCTCTTCTGCCTTCATCTGAAAAGGAAAACAGCACCAATTATGAGAAACGGACGGGACAGAGAATGATGTGGTTCTCTAAGACATGCATCAATATTTAAGATGAACGGTAAACATACAGCTGAGACAGTTTTAACAAAGGATTTGTTAAAATTATTAAGTAAGGTAACTTGCCATATAAACACCCTGCTGAAAAATAAATGTGCTAAGTGTACTAAAATTTAGCATACTTTTGTGTACTTGAAGGCACACTAATCATTACTATACTTTAAGTGTGTTTATGATTAGTTAACTTGAAGGATGCTATTTTGGAACAACTAATTTTGTACTAAATATATTTTAATTGTAATTAAATTGTGGACAAGCTCAACTTGAAGTGTATTTAGTGTACTTTGATGTGCTAAAGTGGAACAACTTAAAGTATATTTTGTATACTTTAAGTATATGAGTTTATATGTACTAATATATGCTTAATTAGTCAAATTAAAGTGCACTATGGTTGTATTATAACTACATTAAAAATGATTTGTTAGTGTCTTAAAAATATATAAGCTTTATACTTTTAATATACTCTTACTGTGGTAATAATATGCTTAATTATACTGTTGGCTTATTCCAATTACTAAAAAAGCATACTTTGCAGTTAATAGTAAATATACTTTATCATTACATTGCTATACTACTTTCTACCTTGCACATTCTTGCAAATGTATTAACAGTATACTAAATGCTGAAAGACTTGTGGATATACTTCCGTGCAGATGAAAAAATATACTTTAATGTATTTGAAACATGTCCAAATTATAGTACATTACAAATAATATAACTTGTACTATCTCAGAATGTATAAACATTTACATATCGACGTTAACCATTTTCATTATAAAACTTACAACACATTTTCAAATATTGGTACTTTAGTACACTTTGTAGAAATATGTCAATTTCAGGCAGCAGACCTAAACATTACAAATAAACTTTAAAGAACGCAGAGGAATACTGAACAATGAAAAACAACATTCCTTATTATTGCACCCCTAAACCCTCGCACCATACAAAAACACGCCCACCACACATTATTTTCCTTTTTTTGGCTGAACTGCTCATTGTTACATTTTCGTCTGATGGCCGTGCGCACATCAGAGACACTTGTCTACGGAAACTCCAGAAGAACAGCGTCTGTTAACCAAACAGAGAGATACTGTAAATTCATAGTATTTTTGAGCAGTACATCAGAAAAGTCTGACAAATTGTATCAGTATGATATACCAGGGTCCATAAGTGCACCAGAAAAAAAAATTGTCCATTTCAGTTGAATTTAAATAAATCTGATGCATCAAGTGGTTTTATCAGATCTGATCAAAAAAATTAAACAAAGTAACAACAAAAATTGTCAGAGATCTCAGAAAAGAAAAAAATTATGAATCCGCAGAAAGAAAGGGAAGAAAAATCCTTAAGTTTCCTTGTTTTTCCTACCACCCTCCAGGGAACCGGATGGCATTCAAATTGGGAACATTCTGCATCAACATCTCTGGTGGAGTCTAGTCCAGTCCATACAATGAACCGCTCAGCTGTAACAGCAGATTCTGCAACTATGTAAAAAAAAAAAAACAGCCTGCACACAAATGTGCAGAGCAATTACTTCAATTGGAAAATAAATCATGTAATCACCATAATATAAATTGGTTTTTACCACATTTATACAGACAAAAATATAAAGTAAAATTATCAATTCACATGTGGTTCACTGTCTAAGAAATCATTATGGTCAGTAGTCAATACTTGTATCTGGAAAAAACAATCCAGGACACCTATGAAGGGTTAATTTTACGTTAACCCCTTGTGGGGGTTTTACAGCAACATCACACAAGATGTAGCTAGCTTGAAAGTGCATTTTCTTTTTTAGAAGAGCACATGGGGGGTGTGTTAGCCTCCTTCTCACTGTGCTAATGCATTCAATAAATCAAAAGAGCTAGTAAAATTACATATATTACAAAACATTATATCCTGACTGGTTTTACATCTCAAAAAATATATATATTTCATTCACAGGTTCATGTGAACTCACCAGGATATTCTTCAACACAATAATACAGCAAATCTTCCTGCTCAACCGATTACATCTCCTGTTTCTACAATACAAATATAATAATCAAAATCGCGTTTTATACAGATATCTTAAGATTTCAAAACCAAATGGGAATGTTTTGAAAGTTACCTCTCTCCATGCAGACCAAGGCCTTAAAAGAAAAGCACGCTAGCTCTGAGCAGGGAGGAGCCGTGACTAACTGCTGTGCAGGTGTGGTGCATTCAAAGTCTATGGGAATTCTGATATCAGTACTGAACCAAAAACTCCCCAAGACTAAAATTCTTGGGGAGCTACTACTTTACAGACATCAAGGCCAAACAACCTCCACATATCACTCCTATATGCATGAAGTGCTGTCAGCGACTTTTAAATATGTGCACTCACCAATTGGTCTTGTTTGCAGTAGCCCTGCTTTGATCCATTAAACAATACTAATGAAATGTTCTTTTTTGAACACTTGAGACAATTGTAATGTGTTAAGTTTATTTCTTTTGCATTTGGCCAGTATTAACTTTTCTGTTGCAATGTGGGTTATGCTATTTGTTAGATCATAATGTAGCACTGCACCAGCTTTAAACCACTTGCTTTTCAGCAGAACACACATTTTTGTGCACCTGTACTTTTGAAGTGAACATTTAGTGTTTTGTTCAATGTGGTTTTGTGTGTAAGATGTATTGTATCATATTTCTTTTTCAAAACTTATTAAACATTACATAACAACTGCAATAATTGCTATCTGTGTACTTTACACACAGCACAAAATTGCATAATAGGGTTTAAGTGCATTTTTGTAGTTATACTATTGAACACTTTCCAAAAGAATTACCTGAAGTACAAGCGTATATAACTTCACTTCATAATTAGATTCAAATGTAACTTAAAATGCACTCAAACTTAATATTACAGTGTCGATATTAAAATGTGTACTTTTAAAATATGCTTTCAATGTACGTTACAATGACAACTTTGAGCATACAATTTAAAATATAGCAAAAATATATGTAAAAACAAATTTAAAATAAGTACACTTTAGAAATTACACATAACTTTCACTTAAAGTATACTTTTTTAATAATATATTTCTATAAAGTGTAACATAGTGTAATTATGTTAAAGTGTGTTAAAAGTATTAGCATGAAAGCGTAATGTTAGTATACTTTTTATATATTTACAAAAAGTACAATTTGTCTAAGTACATTTTCAGTAAACTATAGGAAATATGAATATACTTGAAATACAATAAAGCACATTTTTTTTTTACCAGGGCATGATGATAGATAAAATGTATTTCTTATCATAATCACAAATATAAGTAACAAACAAGTGAAATGTCTTAAAAAATCCATTAAAAGGTGGGGAGCTTAGGGATGAAAGAGACAAAATGTCAAAAGTGAACATATTCAAAATGAAATACAAATATAACATGATTCAAACAGAATAATAAAATTAAAATAAAGACAAAAATATTAGATGTGTGTTTTAGTAACAGGAGTAATGTCATGAAACCAAAATAATGATATAGACTAACTTATACCTGGAATAAAGGATATATAATGTGTATAAATGATTAAGTTCCTGGTTTTTATATCCACAATTAAATTAGATACTTCATTTTGAAATTATTTCCAACATTTTTTATAAAGATTTATTGGAAGGCAATTTATCATCTATCTAACAACAAATGTGTGCAAATTTTGTGTGCAATTTGTGTATTTTTTCAAAGAATGGTTTTAAATTCAATAAATTTTTGTTCCTAAATATGTCAGTCAGAGCATGTGTCAGGATGCTGTGGAAATAGATACAACCATGAGTAATTCTGCAGATTAATCAATAAAATATTGAGTTCTGTGCAAGAAGTGATAATTGAATCCTTGAATTATTTCATAGTGTAATTTACTCTTGAAGTTACATATAAATTACAATTCATTTCAAGTTCAGTTTATTTATAAATGGCTAATTCACAACACATTTATTCATTGACTATCAACATTCAAAATTATGACATTTATAGCAGTAAGTTGTTCTTTATTTAACTTCTAGTTTTATTTAAATAACTCTATCCTTTTAATTTGTGGTGCTTTTGGCCCTCCTAAGAAATAAGATCCTTTCTATTTTTTTATGATTGACATAAGAGACACTTGTTTATAGATGCTTGAAGCTGTTGTAGAAACACACAAAGGGTAATTCTTGCATGAAGCAGCAAAACGTGTGTTTCGGTTTTCTCCCAGCAGGATAAAGCAGACTGTTAAAAGATACTGTACACTTGTGACCTTTGCAGATCTATGTTCCTTCAAATGTCTTTCATTCAACATTGACACTCTGCTGCTCTTTGTTGCCCTTTATGCCTTTAAAAGAGGAACTTGTCCCATCTAATGAAAAGCTCCCTTGCACCATGCGGCTGCCGTCTGCTGATTTCACTCAAATTTCCAGACTCCAGAGTATAAGAGAATTATGAAGCTGATAATATTTTGAAACCTCTTGTGTTTACAGGGAGAGACGACTACATTTTAAAAACTTTTAAAGCTCTACGTCTGGTTTTAATTAGAGAATGTGTAAAAAAAAATACAATAAAGATTGTTACGTGTGCAGGGGTTTTCCCCAGTGAGGTAACCATCCAGCAGAGAGCTAAACCCTGTCAGACCCCCCATGGCTGCATAAGGGACGTCTCTGCCAACTGGCTGACCCCTTGCCTGCCTCTCCAGCTTTGTCTCAACCTGTGATAAAGTGATAACGATGAGATAAATCAAACTGACTACATGGACTGTTATTATTTAATTTAACATTATTATTGTTGATTATTGTTTATAATCACTCACCAAAGTACGGTGCTCAAAGCATGGCCGACCACAGCCACAAGTGAAGGGACTGTGGAAACTAGAGCAAAAATTGCCTGAAAAAAATGTTTAATTGAGATGAAAGTTAGTTATAAAGCCTCACCTGTGTTATAATAATGATACTAGGATGTCTCACTCACACTTCTTGCACATGTGGCCCTGGGCTTCACTGTGATCCTGGGGTAAATGTTTGCACCTGCACCGCACTGGGTTACATCCAACCCGAGGAGTGTAGGTATAAGTGGAACAGTGACATCCCCTGACCTTGCATGGTAAGGCAAGGGATCGTTCGGAGGGAACCACCTCCCAGTCTGTTTGATGCTGCTTGTATCTGGTTGAAAATAATTCACTTGCATATAATACACAGCAAAGATATACATATCCTTTGAATGCTCTACTGTGTGTAAAGATGTATTATCTTACCTATGACCACAAAAACACTGTGTTTCAGGGCCAATCAGCTTGCAGTCAATACCGCCTGGTACACCATAGCTCACATACAACCTGTTTTTCATACGCAGAGGTAAAATCTTCTTCTTGTACTCCTCATATTCCTCTGGAGTAAAAAGTTTTCCACCATCATCGTCACCAACAACCCTTAAAATACAAATCAAGACAACAATTTCAACAGCAATAGGCTCTAATGTTTCTTTTCCTGTCTTATAATACCTACTTTTTATAGCTTACATATTGTCTAATGGTAATTCAGCATCAAATTCATGTAGAACTACTTATATCCTAGTTAGAAAGCAAACATTTGTTTGTACATATACCTTCTGTACTCCCAGTAGTCATCTACTGATTTCAAAGCCGATTTATCCAGATATATGGCGTCCATTTTCCTAAAATCCAAATTATTTGCTGTGTAAATGCAGTTCGTTTATGGCCCACAAATTGGGTTGCTATGGAGATGGTTTTAGAGCTCCCTCTACTGCTTTCAAAAGAGAACTGCAAAAATATATTTATAAAATAAAATAATATATATAAAATAAAAAACAAGAAAACGTAAAAAATACATAAGAAAACACAAGTTAAAGTAAGAAAACCTTAGTGAGAGGGTAAAGAATAAATCTGAAGTCCACCAGCATGTGTGGTTTGTAGGGGCCAGAAATGTTGAATCGATTAAAGAATTACCACCTCTCTGAATATATTCAAAAAGTATTTCAAGCAAAAACTATTTCTGAACCACATAAATCATTACCCAATATGGCTGATGACTAATATTCAGATTTGGATGATTAGATTTTGGTTTAATATGTGTGATGACTATATGGAGAAGCTTTTGAATATGTATGTGGTCTAGCCTTCATATTGTTGTGTGATGTGTAATGGTGTAAAAAAATTTCTGAGAAGAAGTAAAGGATGTAAGTGTATTACATTTTGAAAATATATGGATTATGTGTGGTGATTCTGTGTTTTGTTTTTTCTGTAGTTTATTTTTCTCTATTATGACGTCTATTTTATTTCATTATCTGTTTGATTTCTTTATTATAAGTATGGCTTCTTGGGGAGTCCCATTTTAAATTTGAATGTTAAATTTAAACAAAACAAAATATAACTCTCAAAGTAAAAAACAAACAAAAAACGACCTTTAAGCAGTGAGGAAACTAGCTAAAACTGTAATTATTTGCAAACAATATTCTTCAACATAAGCCTACATAAATAATAAAATAAAAAAAAATCATTCAATCATTATTTATTTCTCATCGTGCTCCATGTTTTAGTTATTTGTAGTTTATTATGTGACAAGCAGCGAGCGAAGACTCGCTTCAACGTCACAATAAGAATACATTTCCCAGGATGCAACACAGCTGACGCAGCCGAAGACGTATCTGGGGATCCATGACAGTCATTAAAGTCGCATGCCTAGAAGTACAGCAGCTGACGAATTAGAGTAGCTATGTTTAAAATAAGCTGTTAACTAGCCAACCGAAATAAGCAGCAACAAGAAAGACACGTAAAGACATGGTGCTTCGCTTCTAATATATTTTTCTACATTTTTGTGTTAAAATAATGAAAATGGGTGCGCTCCAAAGATGTTTATCCAGCGGTAGCGGAAACGGCCGCGGGGTGGCGAATAGCAAGCATCATCCCTCCATGCCCGCTGAATATCCCCTCAGTCCCAGCACCTCTGCAGCGTGAATCCCTCCCTCCACATCAAAGATATCCTCTCTGGACACGCAGCTGGACCAACGTTTCTAATTTTACCGGGCTACACTTATCTCCAGGTAAGTATTTCTCTACAGAACGTTACGGGACCATGTGAGCTAACACGTCAAGCTAACCTCAACGGAAGGTTTTGCTAGAATTGGAAATGGGTTAAAATAAACACTAAGGTCCCGAAATATAATTAAACCGAGTTTGTTTTTGACGGCTGTGTATTTGTGTATTTTCCCTGTCTTTCCATGTGTGGCGTTGGGTCATTTACATGTTCTCTGTATTGTGTAAATAAGTCAGAGAGTTTTAAAGGAAACTTGGCTGTAAGTTTTCTTTCTCCTTGGGTCGCTTTGACATATTTTCTCCCCCCTAATGCTGCTAACTTTTGTGTTTATATTCACACAAAAGTGTGAATAGATGAGCCATTCAGACATGTATGAAGAGGTTTATCACTCTTTATAGAAGAGCACTATATTTATACTCCCTTCTTTTGCTATTTATTGAGTATATATACATAGAGGTGTGGTTGGATCAAATAAAAATAGACATAGAATGACTCTTTAAGTTTTACATTTTTAAAATAATTTCTTCCAAAAGAGAAATAGATTGTTTTAGGCTTACAGCTGCACCGATTTAAAAATGTTTTTAAAGTGAATTAATTAGAACTGTGCAAAGATTTTACTGAAATTAAAAATAAAAATCCTTTACTTTGTTTTTAATCAATTTATCTTAAGAAGTAAGAAAGTTAAGGTTTTTGCCTCGTTTTAATATTTTTTTAAACATTGTATTTACCTTGGAAGTCAAATTGTAGTAAACATTTTCACAAATGACACTTCTTTCTTAAAATATGTCTAAGATAAATACTTAAAATAAGTATAAACTATGACTAAATCTGTGGCGTACATCAGCTTAAACATTAAATGAGTTTTGGATAATATTTTTACTATAATTACTAATATTTTTGTATGTTTACTAACCAAACATTCTGCTGGTTTAACAGTCATGAACAGATCTGTCAAAAATTAATCATTTGTTTGTCACTCGACAAAAAATCTCAACACATTTTGTTCTAAAAAATATCTAAAAAGAAATGGAAGCTTGGTAACCTAGATTATTGTTTGCAGTTCTCATCAACAATTAAGCTGTTGAAGCCCAAACAGTAGCTGCACACCTGCAGATGTTAACATATACGGTCATATGGAAAAGTTTGGGCACCCCTATCAATCTTAATTATTTTCATTTCTAAACTTTAGGGTTTTTGCAAGAGCTATTTCAGTATGATATATCTAATACTGCATATATTTCAGTATTGAATCTAGGTTTATGGGACTAACTGAAAATATTGAGTATGCATTAAAACAAAATTTGACAGGTGCGATAATATGGGCACCTCAGCAAAGAAGAGATGTTAATATTTAGTAGATCCTCCTTTTGTAAAAACGGCAGCCTCTAATCACTTGTAGTAGCTTTTATTGAGTTCCTGCATTCTGGATATAGGGATTTTTGACCATTCTTCTTTGCAAAACAATTCCAGTTCAGTTTGATGGTCGCCTAGCATGGACAGCCTGCTTTAAATCATCCCACAGATGTTCAATGATATTCAGGTTTGGGGATTGGGATGGCCATTCCAGAACATTGGAATTGATCCTCTGCATGAGTGACTGAGTAGATTTTGAGTGGTGTTTTGGATCATTTTCTTGTTGAAATATCCATCCCTGGCGTAACTTCCACTTCGTAACTGATTCTTGAACATTATTCTCAAAAATCTGCTGATATTTAGTGAAGTCCATGCGACCCTCAACTTTAACGAGATTCCCAGTGCCAGCATTGGCAACACAGCCCCAAAGCATGATGGAACCTCCTCTAAATTTCACAGTGGGTAGCAAGTGCTTTTCTGGGAACACTGTGGGGGTTTTTTTTATGCTGCCATGCATAACGCCTTTTTTATGACCAAACAACTCAATCTTTGTTTCATCAATGCACAGGACCTTATTCAAAAATAAAGCTGGCTTGTCCAAATGTGCTATTGCATACCTCAAGTGATTCTGTTTTTGGCGTGCTTGCAGAAAAGGCTTCTGTCGCATCACTCTCTCATACAGCTTCTCCTGGTGCAAAGTGCACTGAATTGTTAAACGATGCACAGTGACAGCGTCTGCTGCAAGATGATGCTGCAGGTCTTTGGAGGTGGTTTGTGGGTTGTCCTTCACCATTCTCACCATTCTTCTTCTCTACCTCTCTGATATTTTTCTTGGCATAACAAGAACCGTCCCTGTGGTCTTCCATACACTTACTATGTTCCTCACAGTGGAAACCTACAGTTTAAATTCTGAGTTCTGAGAAAACTTTTTGTATCCTTCCCCTGAACGACTATGTTAAACAATCTTTGTTTTCAGATAATTTGAGAGTTGTTTCGAGGTCCCCATGATGAATCTTCAGAGAAGATTCAAACAGGAGAACAACTTGCAATTGGCCACCTTAAATACATTTTCCCATGATTGGATAGACCTGGCTATGAAGTTCAAATCTTAATGAAGTTACCAAACCAATTTTGTGTTTCAGTAAATGAGTGAAAAGTTAAGGGTATTCAAATCAATAAAATGATTAGCACCTGTCAAGTTTTGTTTTAATGCATATTGCACATTTTCTGTTAGTCCAATAAACCTCAATTCAATACTGAAATATTACTGTGTCCATCAGTTATTAGATATATCAAACTGAAATAGCTGTTGCAAACACCCAAATATTTAGAAATCAAAATAATTATGATTAATAGGGGAGCCCAAACTTTTAATATGACTGTATATTGACACTTGATCGCAATTATGATTTCCAAACATGCAAGAACCAGTTCTTAGAATCAAGTTGATGTGAGGTTTTAAGTTCAAAATCCCTTCAAATTGAAGTTGTTTTAATAAGAAGTTGGAAAAAGGTGTCACAGTCACCCCAGCCATAAAGAGCAACTGACCAGCAGTGCACAGCAGCGAGTGGGGAAGGGGTGGCTGCAACCTATAAGCAGCATTTCTGTTAAGGAGCAGAAAGCTCTTCTAATTAATCTGCTTATAATAGTAATGTAGCTTTATGAAGTAACAAAAAAAGGATAATATTCTGCACAGTTTGCAAGTTTGAATTAAATTATGTATTGTAACTAATCTGCTGGGATGAAAATGATTTGTAGAGCATATTTACACACAGATAATGCCCAATAAAGTTTCACAGTAGCTATCAATGTAGGAGTAATTTTGGGAATTTAGCGTTATTTTTTTATTTAAAAATAATAAAATGATGTGTGATGTTTGGCTGCCTTCATCTTAAAAGCAGCTTTGATGTGACTTGGATGGCTTTCCTGCTGAAGCACCTGGTTGTGCCCAATTATTAACCACCTTCAGTGGAATCACTTTCAGATTAAAGAAAATCTGTCAATATGGTAAAAAAAAATAAATAAACCTGGAAACACAGTAAGGGATGAACTGAATAGAAGAAGAAAAAAAGTTGGAAAACTTCAAGCTCCTCTAAATGTTCAAACTTCTTATAGAGAGAAATGTTTCATGGTCACATAAGGTTGAAGTTTATGATGACTGACAAAAAGTCGTCTTCTGTGATGATATGAGCTTCAGACCTACAAACTGAACCAACTGTCAGGCATGGTGGTTGTAGAGTTATGCTACAGATCATTCTATCATCTAATGGTAACTGAGTATTGATGAGAACTCAAACAAACCTGTGAACTGTTCTAAAATAGTCAAGGAAGATAATAGCTTCTAGATTGGCCATATCCAGAATCCTAATCAAAACAGTGGAGTTTGCTGCAAAGTCAGGTCTTTTATTGTGACCTTGTAGATCCTTTTTAATGGCTATATTTATTGGTTTTATATATGTATTTATTTTTGTGCTGAAGGCTAATTCTGATACCTTTTTTGCCCAAAATGATTGTAACTCTATGATGACAGTAGCACTGCAGCTCGGAAAGCAATGCAACCTGAAAGATATGCTAGAGCCTTCTCTTTTATGTTAAATCCACCCATCACTAAAATCGCTGTGTCATGTTATCGGTTTCCTCAAAGGCCTTTTGTTTTGTTTTTGAGTGTCTGTTTTAAGCAGCCAAATTCCAGTCTCCATACAACTTGGAGAAGAATTTGTGTATCTATAAAGCTTCAGCACAGATTCAGGTTGTGTTACCTCGTCTTTTCATAATTTATATATTCAGCCGCTGTCCCCCGTCTGACCCTGAACTGAAAGTGACACCTCGCATAAGCCTCCTGAGAATGAATTTTGTCAACTAAGTTGTGAAAACTGAGAAATGATCACCTAATCTTTTCTTCTGTATGCGCAGATTGGTTTCAATAGCTATTGTATAGTGCGATTGAGAAAATAATGTCCTGAACGACTCTTGTCAGTTGCTTGGTCTACTGTCTGGGGCTGTGAAATAGATCTTTGTGAAATCTAAACTTGTAATTGGGTTTCTGGGCTAAAGAGATTTGTCTGAGTAGACTATAGCACACCCAGATCCAAAGCAGCGTAGAAATCTCTTTAAAAAATGAAAAGGAGCTTAAATAGTAACTGTTAATGCTGCTGCCAGCTCCCTTTTAATAAGAATCTAAAAAATGTCACCTTTATTTTCCAAATCATGAACTCTTATTCTAGATTTATGTCAAATAATGCATTGTATTAACTTTGTTGTTTTTTTTTGTGTGTGTGCTTCTTTAGCAAAGGTAACTATGCTCGTGGAGCCTGAATGCCATGACTGCATAGATGATTTGGTGTTCAAGATCTTGCAAGCAAAGGACTCCACCGAAGGTTCCTGATTGTTGGTTTTAAGGGTGTTTACCTACTTCTGGTTACACTTCCTGGCTTCTGCTTTTGCTCAGCATTTCCTCATCCCCTTCTTAAAGGCAGGATGTTTGTAGCTTTTGCAGAACTCTGACCTTACTGTAAAAAAAGGGCATCACGAGACTTTTCACCAGTGAACTGAGTTGTCACACCAAGACAAGATACTTGGCCTTGAAAAGGGCACCTCTACCTCACCCTTATCCCCCTGCCCTGTACCATGCTGGGTGCACTCTTGCTGCGGAGGAACATGTCCCAGAAGCTGAGTGTGCTGCTGCTGGTATTTGGGTTGGCATGGGGATTGATGCTGCTGCGCTACACCGTGCAGCAGCCTCGCCATCAAAGCAGCGCCGAGCTACGCGAACAGATTCTGGAGCTCAGCAGGCGATATGTGAAGGTCCTGACGGAGGAGAACCAGAATGCGCCAGGAGGGCCACAGGGAACGTCCATGGCAGGATACGGTATGCTGGTTCACAAATAAACAAATGGGTGTTAAAATGACCAACTCAAAGTCCAGACCTGAATCCAATCGAGAATCTGTGGAAGGAAATGGAAACTTCTGTTCACAAACGCCCTCCATCAAACCTCACTAGGCTCCAGCTGTTTTGCAGGAAGAATGGGCAACAATTTCAGTTGCTTCATGTGCAGAACTGATAGAGACAAACCCCAAGCAACCTGCAGCTGTAATTGCTACAAAGTATTAACTCATAAGGGCTGAATAATTTTATACAATACATATTTCAGGTTATTTGTTAAAGTTTCAAATATTCAATATATTATGTTCCAGTTCATGATTGTCTACCACAGAGGGATTTAAATCACACCCATCATGGCGATTCGATTCAGTATCAATTTCATGACCCAACGATTTGATTATTTTCGATACTCAAGAATAAACCACGATATGATTCGATTAATTGGTTAATTTAAAAAAACATTTTTTTTTTTTTACTTACAGGGTAGACAATGTCTCAAATTTAAAATAAATCAATGAAAGTTGCAATATCGTTATGCATTTTATTTGAGAAACAACAGCAAATAACAGAAGTAGCAAGGTATTATTCAACCTAGGCCTATGAAAACTAACCTGACTCCGCCAGATGGATTTACTCCGCATATCCATCTGGAAACCTTCGGTTGAAGTAATTTAGGGAAGGGGCGAAAATACTGGTTAGCTGATTGGCCTATGTTTGTGATAGACGGGCCAAATAAACCAATCAGATCAACGAACCACAAGCCAGGCTACTCTTGCCGAAACCAGTCGGGAGAAGAGCAAAAACATCTTTTCCTCTGAGAAAAGCCTCCAGAGCAGTGTTTTGCTCTTCTTTCAGTGAAGAAATACTCTGTAATTCCGATAAAACTTGCTCGATAGCCGCGCTAACGTTAGTTTCATCGTCTGAAGCCGCCATGTTCTTTAAACTGAACTGTCGCGCTTCTCGTTGCGTCACACCTCAACCCGCCTCAAAGCCAACGCTGATTGGACGTTCGTTTGGTGAACGGCTCCAAATTTTCTTTAACGGAGAGTCTCCAGACTGATCTGCGAGTGAAACCTTGAAAGCTCGCGAGATCAGGATGGTCTCACGAGGCTATATGAAAACCTCATTCACTGAAAAATAATGCCTCTGTGTTTACGCGAGTGTGTGTGTGTGTGTGTGTGTGTGCAAGCGGAAAGAGGGTAGGTTCTAAAGGAAGCGAGGTAGGAGGGCAAAATAGGTTTAGCGCCACCGCAGCGCGGGAGTCAGAATTACTTCCAGGAGCAAATGGAAAAAAATAGACCGGAGGGAAAAAAACCAAAACATGAATCAATACTCTTACAGACGTGTCGATGCATCGGATCGTCAGCTGTTGGATCGATGCATCGATACAAAGCGATTATTTTTTACACCCCTACTACCACGTGGTGATTTTTCACAAAAAAATTTAATTTTATATATTTTTTGAAGTCTAAAATGTGGCAAAAGGTCAAAAAGTTCAAGAGTACCGAATACTTTTGCAAGGCACTGAAAATAAAAGATGGAAGTTATGCTAAGTTATTCATACATTTTTTAGATCTACATCAATGTCCAGAATGTGTAGAAAATGAGACTGGTATCTTTTAAAATGTAAAATTAGAGAAATAAAGGATAAAAAGAAGGTTTCACTCTCCCTGCAGAAGCTCTCCTAATTTAGACAAGGAATAAATTAGCACCGGTGCATTGGGTCAAAGATGAGGCTCTCACCCTGACTCCAGCGCTGTTTAGTCATGTCAGCGATATTCCTTCCTGTGCATATAATATAATCCCAACAGTGTCTTTAAGTTACACTTTTGAACACTAGTTCAAATATTTGCCTGTGCACACACGGCTGCAGATTCTTCTTCGCTGATATTAGGTAGTTTCTATTTCCAGTCAGCAAACTGGGCATCAAAACTAGGAATCAAAAATAAGAAATTTGAACAATGCCAGGAAAAATGAAAGGTTAGAGGCGGTTCCGATCGATTATTGATTCTCAACGCCTAATATTAATTATCTACTACATTGCTTTGGTCTAGATAGGTGTCAGACTGCAGACCTTCAGGGCCAGTTTACCAACTTAGATATGTACCTCAATACAATGGCTTCTAAGCATGCAGTCACGTTTCCCATTCCTGTTATTGATATTAGCATACCGTTCTAGTGCGAGAAAACATGTAAAAGTTTCAGGAAACCTGTGGTCTATCACAAACATACTAATCAGTACTTCAAAAAAATTGTTGAAACGTGACAAAATGTTTAGAAGCAAAGTAAGCATAAAAAATATGACTTTTGTCATTATTGTGTGCACTTTTTCTAATTGAAATCTTTGCCTTCCAGCTGACCTGAAGAGGACCATAGCTGTTTTGCTGGATGACATTCTGACACGGCTGGTTAAACTGGAGGGGAAAATCGAACTGGTGGCAAATTCCTCCTCAACAAACACATCGCACTCGGCAGCAGCGGGTGTCCCTGCTGGCCTGCGGAAAGCTTCAAAGCAGGAGTCAGCAGGGAGCCATCCCGGGATGCCACGTCTTTATCCACACCTCCCTAGAAGACCTCGACCGCATTAAAACTGAGCTCTTTTCTCCTGAAGCACCTATACATCACTGCTCACTGGTGTATCGGCATCAAGTGATCAAGTAGCAATATAAACATATATATATATATTCGGTGCGGTCGGAGAAGGACATGAAGCGCTTCTTTGTTTCCCAACTTGTCGTTCTACATTCAGATTTTCGTGTTTATGTTTTATATTTGCATTGCAGAATTTATTTCAGTTTTTTTTTCCTTATCCTTGCAAGTTTGACTGTTAAAATAAATGCAAATTTCAAAGGAAACCAAAAAAAAGCTGAAAAAGGTGGTGAGAAATTTGCCTAAAATATCTCACACTTGCATCATAAATAGGTTTCCAGTACAGCATCAGCAAACACTGAGCTCAACCATACACTCAAGACCATGAAGAACAGCTGTGCTTTAGTGGTTCAGAAGGCACGCTTAAGAAAGATGACTATTTTAGCTTGTGATCATTACGCATTAATAAAGTTTGCTCTTAAGAATAACCCAAAGAATAGATTTTTAGCGCTTCATTCAAGGCAATATAAATGTACATGTTTTGTTGAAGTATGTGTAGAATGAAATGTCTTGCAACTGTAAACATCTGTCTGAGTGTGTGGGCTTGCCATATCTGTTCAAATCTAATGTGCCGTAGAGCTGTTTCAATACGGATCATGAAGAACATTGAATGTACCACGCTGTCTGTGGGTCTGATTCGTTCAGGGTTCATATCGCACTGTGACTACAGAGACTTCTTTAATATACCGAGCTTATCTTAACTTTAGCTTCAGGAATGTTTAAAGGGGAGTGGAATGTGTTGGAATGTTCCTCCGATTGCTCTGTGTAATGCTGATAAACTGGTGGAATACCAGTTGGCTAATTCACCGTTTTGATAGAGGTGAGGGTTTCTCAAACTGACATCATTTGGAAGTTTCGTGTGATTAAAAATTCAGTGTGGGTGAAAATTGTAATCAAAGAATTCTTCACTTTATTTCAAATTTAGTCACCTTTATCTGAAGGGGATTTTATTCAGTGGTGTGTTGAGAGTGATGCTGTAAAAGCCACAGGCTTTTTATTTTTGCTCAATTTTCAGTAGAAATTAACCTTTTATGAATCTGTTTTTGAAATCGTCCACAATAAAAATACTTGCAGGTTATTAAATTATTTGATAGAGCACAAACACATCTTCCTTGATCATCTGTTTGCAAACTTCTAATTATTTGAGTGGATTATTTATGAGATGAACAGCACAGAGCGGCACAAGACTGTAAAACAGGAGGAACATGTATATCTTGTTTTCAAAATATTAAAGAAACCTGAAATGACCTGCTTTTGCATTCACTTCCCCCGAGTCCATAATTGATTAAATCACATTTTACTACATTTACAGTCAAAGTAGCTTCATGAATCATTTTAGCACATGAATATTTCTTGATACTTTTCATTCTCTTTATAAAATTGCTGTGCTGCTTGTAAGTGCTCTATCCATCTTCATCTGATCCTCTTCCACGTCTGGATCCCCACAGTATAATCCCGCATCTCTGTGTTTTACCATGGGGACGGTGTGTTGAAGCGATCTGGAGTTATTTTTTTTCCACTAAAAGGTAGCATTTAGATTGGAAATAAAACTACTAATCTTACCACAAAAGCCTATGGCCGTTATTGGTTCTACAGTGGCTCCTTATCGTGGCAAAAAAATGACAAAAGACCCAAATAATATTTCTGAATGCAGTATAATAACATAGCAGGTTTAGAATTCAGTAGAACTTTTAAAAGTATAGTTTGATTTAACTTTTATAACAGATATTAAAAAGAACCGCTTATATGTTTTTCATCTCTATGGGAGGTGTTTGCCTAGTGGGTTAGAGCATTGTGCTTGTGCTCTGAGAAAGTTGCAAGTACCCGGTTTGATCCCCACAGCCTCCTCTCTGGGTTCCTGAGCAAAACAATGGCAGCCCGCTGCTCCCCAAAGGGATGGGTTAAATGCAGAGAGTGAGTTTCCCAATGTGGGACATTAAAGGGTTTGAATATTTTATTTTCCACACATAATCCATGTTACATCTTTATACAAAATTTTAGTATTTTTCTTTATTCTGAAACCTAAAATATAAATAAAATGTTAGTTCTCGAAAACAACACTTTTTCTGTAGCTTATATTTAACAAAAATAATACGTTATATTTTAAAATGCAGCTCTAATCGACTTGTATTTAGCTGGACCCAAGTTAAAAATGACTCTTTGGGTTTTAAAGGTTGCAGGTCGCAGTTATAAGCAGTAAAACCTAAAGGAAATCAAATCAAAAGCAGTTTGCTGATACAGTTTTAGATGAAGAGTTACATAAAGCCTTGTTGGTTTTTGATGGCGCTCTAACTTTTAACTTTGATTCTTATTTATCAGACCACAAGTGTGTTTTTTTTTCTTTCTTTTTTTATATACGGTAGCTTAAATATGATAGACCTGAATTCCAGACAAGAGATTGTAGGTTGTTTTATTTTCTTTATAATTTCTTCTTTATAATTATGCTCTTACTGGTCACTGGTCTATACTGGACATGATTTCAATAACTGTGATTTCATCTAAAAATCCTTTTAACAACCCTGTCACTGTCACTTGGCCTGCATGCCAAGACGCTGCTGGACATTATTGGACTTTCTTGACTTTTCAGGTATAAATTAGAGCTTTCTGATAGTGTATGTTTCGAATAAGCCAATGAAAATTTAAAGTTTTCTCTTTTTTCTACTTATAATGTGCCCCAAAAAATGTGGTTGTATCACAGCTTCGTGTGGGAGGAAATGGTAACTTAATTTTGGGCTTCCATTATAACTGCGGGTTACTTTAACAGAACATCCGTAGCAGCAAACTTTCTGAAACCTTCTGAAAACTATTTTCTTATGCTTCATCACTTATAATGTACTCAAAAAATTGCACTCAGCTCAGAGTTGCATTACTTATTAACATATTTTGACTTCAGTAAAAGTAACCAGTAGCCTTCCTAGAAATAATCCACATAAGAGTAAATTAGTAAATACTAACAAGGCTACACAAGCACTGAATAAGTAATTATAGCATCTGATTTACTTCATAAAATTATATAATCTGCCAGGACAAAAATATAAATCAATGCAAACCCTGGTGTTCTAATATGAAAATAAAATAAAACTGATTTAACTGAGCATTAACAAACTCAAGCAGAAGAAACTTTGTATGTTGGACGGTAAACTACCTCTAGAAACAGTATTGACTTTTTATTATATATAACTTTGACCTCCATATATCAAAGGCTTAGATAGAAGTGAGATTTTAGTTTCAAATGTGCTTGTTCTTTATTCTGTGACAGGTTGAGTAAAAATACTTAATGAAAACGATACTTAAAGAAAAAGTAGAATTTATGATGGAGTAAAACTACTTCTAAAATTCAATTTAAAAAAAGTGAAATGTAACTGAGTAAATGTAAATACCCACCTTTGCTTATATCATTGCTGTGCTTATATTACATGGCCAAGAATTATCTCTCAGCAAAGATACAAACTGTACTTATAAAGTCTGGCTATAACAGTATAAGTTGCCTGCTCTGGAGATAAGCACCACAGATAAGCAAGTATATGGATGAGTTAATGATTTATTTAGCATGTCTTCAATATTGTATAATCTCTGCAGTTTCATTCTAGAGATATAACATTTGTTATGAATAAAAATTTTATTTACTGCACATTAGCATTTTCTTTTGAGGCAGTAGAAATTTTTCTTCTTTATTTACTTTACATTTAAGGGTAAGAAGCAGCAGTTTGATTTTAGGTTAAGGCTTAATGGGCTTATTTGTTAAAACATAAAGGAAACTTTAACTGAGCAGCAAAAAACTAAATAAATCCAATAAGTTAAGGCACAAAATGCTGGCGAATTATTTCACCAAAAGCTGCTGATAAAACTGTTGTCCAGCTGGCTGTCAGTGACACCCTACAGCAGTGTTTTCCAACCTTTTTTGACCCGTTTACCATGAGTACCCCCTCAGTCAAAAGTATTGATGATTGTCCAAAAGTGAAAAGTACAAGAACTGATATATAAATTAAAAAACTATTTTACTTCATCTTTTAACTTTAGCATTTAATTATTAGGTATTTTATTCTTTTGATCTAAAAAAAAAAAAAAAAAACATACATATGTTGCCTGGAAGTTGGTAGGGAATCAGAATGAATACAAACAAAATCATATTATAAAGCTGTATTTATAAAACGGGAGCCCCTCTGAGTAACTCCCTCATTTTTTATATAGATTTAAATTTTATGAATATATTGAGCAAAACTTTTAGACTGATTGAATTTATTTTACTTTGTTTTCATCAAGACACCTGAGCTGTTTTGATGTTTTGACCTCCTTATAGAAGAAGAAGGCTTAGCTGATAGAAGTGAGATTAAGAAAACAAAGCTGGTGTTCAAAAAACAACTCATTTGAGTCAAACTAACTTTATTTGCATTTTAGTTTAAAATGTGCTTGTTCTTCATGTTGTGAAAAGTTGAGTAGAAATAATGAAAACAATATGAGTGGAGTAATACGGCTTCTAAAAGTACTTTTTTTTTTTTTCAAGTTGGCCAATTAAATGTAACTGAGTAAATGTAACTACCCACCTTTGCTTTTACTTAGGTTATTGCTCAACTAATAATTATCTTTCTGCAAAGATAAAAGCCCTACTTCTAAAGTCTGGCTATAACAGTATAAGTTGTCTGCTCTGGAGATAAGCACCAGTCTCTAAGCAAGTACATGGATGAGTTAATGATTCTTTAACATGTTTTTATATTCTACAATCTCAGCAGTTTAATTCTAGAAATATAGAATTTTTTATTAATAACATTTTATTTACAGTTTATTGTGTGTTTTTTGACAATAGGAACTGCTCGTCTTTCTTTCTTTTTTACTTTGCATTTAAGAGTATCAGCAGCATTTTGATTTTGTTATGTGATTGCTTGCCATACCTGGTCTGTGGGGAGCCATTCACAGTCCAGCATGACGCGCTCGGACCCAACCTACCTTATCCACCAATCACAGCAAAGCCTTGCCCTCTTCCATGTTTGCTTTTTGTTTGCAAAGAAACCGTGTACGTTTTTGTTTTTTCACAGGAAGGTAAAGGACCTGTTCTTTTGCAAACAGCTTGTATTACAGTCCCTCTGCAGCCATGTTTTCTGGGCCCCAGGCTACCTGGGGACCTATTCTAATTATTCTAGTTAATGCATTTAAACATCATGAGTGATATGACCTCACTGCTCTGCGTTTCTTGTTGAAACTTGTTTATTGTTGCTACATTAGACATTTTTTGCAAAGGTGACACAAAGGAGGAATCAGTGACAGATTGGTAAGTAGTTACGCATTTTATTTATGCTTATCTTTTTTTTTTAAAGGTATATTTGTTTCAAGCTTATTACCAGATGGGCCTATGCCAATCCTAGTGCAAAGTCTTCCACACACTGGGTAAGTTTTTTTGGTTTCTGTTTTTTTTTTTTTTGGTTTGTTTGTTTGTTTTTTTATTTACTACAGATTTATGACTTCCAGCTAATAACCAAAAATATCACAAAATGCTAATTTTTTTATGTGATGTGAGGCTACTGCAGATTAATTTTCTCTTTGCATACTGTAGCTCACACCAATGTGTTGTGGCCTGGAGCCAATCCGCCTGTGGCCCTCTTGAGGTCTATTGGAAGCCTTGGTTGTTTTCCTTATCACAAACAGGTTATCCCAGTTGTTGGCACCAGAGTCTTTCATCTTATTAGGGGGGCCACATGCCGAAGGCATGGTTAGGGGGGCCACATGCCGAAGGCATGGCCCACCTACTACTATTGCACATATTTATTCTGCGTATTATTAGGGGGGCCACATGCCGAAGGCATGGCCCACCTATTACTATTGCACATATTTATTCCGCGTATTATTAGGGGGGCCACATGCCGAAGGCATGGTTAGGGGGGCCACATGCCGAAGGCAT